ATGTGACACGGCACCAGAGTTAAGTTAGGGTTTTTCAAAATGCTGACACGCCGAGCTCAAAAGGTTTGCCATCACTGCCCTAAGCTCTTCCACAAAATACCGACTTCTGCGCATGGGCCACGAAGTTTCAATCGCACTGTATGTGCGCGCCCCCACGTGGTATTCTGTGGAAGAGCCATACTCAAGGGGCCAATGAGCCGCATGTGGCTCGCGAGCCGCGGTTTGCCGACCACGAATCCGTGGTCGGCAAACTCATTAGTCAACAGAGCCAAATATCAACAGTACAACGATTGGAATTTCTTTTGAGAGCCAAATTTTTTAAACTTAAACTATATAGGTAGGTACATTGTTATTAACTTAATTAGGGTACTCCTAAGGCTTAGGAAGAGCCACACTCAAGGGGCCAAAGAGCCGCATATGGCTCGCGAGCCGTGGTTTGCCGACCACGGGCCTAGGGGATTCCAAGTGTTTTCTACCACAGTTCCATACTCACTCATTCATTCAATATTGATTGATCACTCCATCCTATGCCAGGAGCTCTGCTAGGAATTGACCACACAGCTGTGCACAACCCCCAACTCTGCCCTCTGTGTACTTAGTCCCTGGGGTTCTGTTAGGTTTGTAACCATCACCTACCCCCTTTCACTACATCTTTGCTCTCTAGGTCCCAGTAAGGATCTCTGTGGATGCTGGCTTGTTGCTTCTCTGTAGACTGCAGGTTTTCCTTAACTTGTTACATCATAGTTATGCAAATCACCTGGTCATTTCCCAGTTCTGATTGGATAATGAGGCAGAGCTTACTCTTTCTCAAGTGGCCACATAGGGTAGCCATCATCTTGCAGGGTGGGCAATAATTTGAAAACCAAACAACTCTTTCTGTCTCCTTTGCCTTCTAGTTTGCTCCCAAATCCCAGTTACAACCTGTGTATACATGATGAGGGCAGTAGTGTGAGCATACAGAGCAGAGACATTCATTAGCAAACAATGTATGCTCCCCGCCTCCTCTCAAGGGTCTGAACTTCACCTCCACCTTACCCAGCTCTTGCTGGCCCCTCCCTAAACCCTCCTAGGGCCAGCCTCCAACCTCAGTGCCAGCTACAGCCATCCCATGCATATTTTAAGGGCTCAACCTTCCTCTTTATTCAGTTTGGTTTTACTCATTTGTTCCAGACAACCTGAAAGCATTTTCTAAATTACTTTCATTTTAAAAGTAACTAGAAGATTAGGAAAGCTTAAAACAACAACAACAACAAAACAACCCCGCAATTTACCCAACCCTAGTTTATGTGATATCATAACATAATGTGTTTCAAGTATTTAAAATGCGTTCATATTCAGGTATGTCAAATAGGACTAGGTTTACTGATTTCATTGATTTTGCTACTTTACTTCACAGGGGAAGAGAGGGATATTAAACTAGTGTTCCCAAATATCTTAATGCGACATTCAAAAGCCTCTCTGATCTAGTTCTAGAGGAACTTTCCATACCACTCTACACTGGAACACTCTGATTCACCTTTATTTTATGTCCCTACACAGTGCTGGGGGCCCATGGACACAAGGCAAGCATGCAATTACTTCAGTCATCTTATGGCTTGTAAATATGCTGCTGATGTGTATGATACCCTTGAACAGTCAATTCCTTACTTCCAATGACTTTGGAAAGACCACTGTCTTCCACCCGGTGCCACTGATTTATCTCAGTGATTGAACCCTCAACCTTGTCATGACTGGTGGCTGCAACTGTTCATAATCTCGATGTCAAGGATTCAGTTCTATCTCACCCTTTCTGGTAGCCCTCTCCAACACGCTTTCCCCCCGCCAAACCTCTGATCTATTGGTGCTCCCAATTTGAAAAGCTCCCTTGACTGTGTTATGGTTTCTCTTCCTCCTAATCATGGAATATTCTTATTCTTAAAAAGTCAGATGTTGTTTATGTTCAGTTCAGATTTAACTAGGCCTCCTGTATTTTTAAAATTTATCTTTATTGTTAAAAGTATTATCAATGTCTCCATTCCCACCCCCAGCCATTGACCCCTCCCACCCCACTACGCCCCTCCCAGGCCTTCAAGGCACTATTGTCCATGTCCATGTGTTATGCATATATGCATATAAGTTCTTGGTATCTTAAACCAGTCTAATATAAACTCTCAACTCCTTTGGTCTCCTCCTTGAAGCTTCCTGACAAAACCACAGCGTGTTAAAGCCCAACTTTTTGCCCAGCTCAGTGGTTGCACGTCAACCCATGAACCAGGAGGTCACAGTTCGATTCCCGGTCAGAGCACGTGCCTGGGTAGGGGGCATGCAGGAAGCATCAATCAATGATTCTCTCTCATCATTAATGTTTCCATCTCTCTCTCCTTCTTCCTGAAATCAATAAAAACATATTTTTAAAAAGTCCAGTGTTCTGACAATTCTGCATCTCCATCTGTGCAGCTGATTGTGCTGGAGAAAAACACAACCCCACTGAACAGAGCTCGCTTCACGTTCATGACCGAAAACCTCCAAAAGGGTCTTAATGCTACATGAAAAATCATTCTCTCTCTCTCTCTCTCTCTCTCTCTCTCTCTCTCTCTCTATATATATATATATATACATATATATATATATATATATATTCCAAGGCAATGCATGCTTTGTATTTTAAGCCTTTGCTTCTCTCCCAAAATCTTTTATGCCTTCTCTCACACTGTCAGTACTCAGGAGAAGTCCCAGAGTCCTCCCATTATTTATATTCAATTTAAAAAAAACCCATTGATGTTAACTTCTTGGCTATTACATAAATTGGGGGGGGGGGGGGTCGGCAAATTAGAGCCATGGTCGGGTTTTATATCCCACTGCGAAAATCATATAAAATAAAAATTTTAGTGAGCCTAAATGAAAGTTGCATTGCCCCTTCATTCAGGTATTATCTATGGTGGTTTCAGAGCCTCAGCAGAATACTTGTGACAACAAACATATTTGCCATCGGTCCCTTTTCAGAAAAGTGTGCCGACCCTTCGTCTATCTGTGCTCTAGTCCAAAGTCACTTAATCTATTCCTTCTCCCCTACTCAAGAATATTACCCTACTTTCTACCCAATTCTGCATCAGCTTTTCCCCATCTACTACTAAATTACTCCTATTAGTGTACCAAAAAGCTGTTATTTCTCCAATCTTAAACAAACAAGCAAACACCTCTTCCTTGTTGTCTCCCCTCTGTCTCTACCAGTTACTGCTCTCATTTGCAGCAAAAACCCTCAAGAGTAATATGCACTTGAGGGCCACAATTCTTCCCCAAATTCCTCTTAACCATCCCCATCACGCTACACAGACTGCTTGCATCAGCTACCAATGGCCTCTGCGAAGCTATACTCCTCGGCCAATGCTCCTTCTCGTCTTACCTGATCCATGGGCAGCATGACTCAGTGGATCACTCTGCCTCAAAGCTCTGTTTTCACTTGTCTTCCGAGATACCACACCCCTTGATTTGTCTCCTACCTACTGGATGCTTCCTCCTAGGCCTTTTCTCCTGGTTCCTCTTTTTCTCCTCTTATCGCAAGAGGGCCTCAGGACCTCCTCTCTCACTCCGGCTCTCTCCTTCAGTCCTGCAGCGTGAAGAGCCACCTCTCATGCTCATGACTCCCACATTTACACCCCAGCTCAGACCTCTCTCCTGAGGTCGAGCTGCATTTTATCCAACCGCCTACCTGGCATCACATGTGAGCACCTAATAGACATTGCAAACTCAACCTTCCAGTCCAAACACAGTCTGAGCTAACCTTCAAGCTCCTCTCCACACCCAACCTCTCTCCCCTCCCTCCATTACTGGCAATGGTATCCTTCCTTTTCAGGCCTAATTCTTTGTGATCATTCTTGACCACTCTCTTTTCTTTCACGTTCCACTTAGTCTGGCTGGAAAGTCTGTTGGCTCCCTGTTCACAATTTACACAGCACCTAACCATTACTCACCTGACCCCACTTCACCTCATCTTCTCTCACCCAGATTACCAAAACCCTCTCCCAGCAGTTCTCCCTGATTCCTCCCTTGCCTTATAGTCTCTCCACCCCGCAGCCAGAGAAATACTTTTAAAAGGAAGTCAGAGCAAAAGCCAAAGTCCTTTAATGGCCTACCAGGCTCTCCTTGATCGGGCTTGCTGCCTCCCTACCCCTCACCTCTTAATCCATCTCCTGTTGTCTCCCCCTAACTCCCTGGGCACACTCACTGAACTGCTGTGCTTTCAGGACAAGACAGGCCTGCTCCCACCTGGGGCCTTTGCGCTGGTTGTTGTTCCTTCTACCTGGAAAGCTTTCCCCAGATATCTTCATGCTTAGCCTCTGTCACCTTCAGATCTGAGATGTCACCTTTCATTGTGACCTACCTACCTTACCCTCCTGATCCCTCAGTCCTGCTCTACTGTATGACATTACTCTGTTAACCTCTAACACATCATACCGACTATGCTATTTACCATTATGTTGACTCCACAAGCCAATTATTTGTCACTTTGATTATTGAGTTCCAAGTGTTTGAAACTAAAAAGTGCTCAAGAGTTGAATGAAAAAATTAAATGTCTACTTGCTAATGAATTTGCCTTTTTTTACTTAGTTTTCAATAACCTTGAGAGTTATCTGCTATCTCCGTTTTACTTTGTTAAATTAATTGAATAAGGATGCCAGTGGACTGAATAGCTTTAATGCTTTGGTGACCTACAAGAGCAAACCTAAACCCAAGCCTGCAATGCCTTAAAGCAGTGATTTTCATCTCTGCTTTGTCATCTCACAGCACACATATTAATTACTAAAATTTTGTGGCACAGCAAAAATACATATTTCTTTCCAATCTGACAAAAAATAGGTATACTTTTGATTCATTCACACCGGACAGCTATTGCTGTGTTGGCTGTTGTCATTTTTTTATTTGACAATCTAAGGATAAAGAGGTCAGTGCCCCTTACTAAATAGTCAGGTATCCCATGTTTTAAAAATTTTTGCGGCACGTCAAGTTGCTTTGGCTTCGGCATGCCGCAGGAGTATACCAGTGCACCGCCGCCAGGGTACAGCAGTGTGCCGCCGCAGGAGTACACCAGTGCGCCGCCGCCAGGGTGCAGCAGTGCGCCGCCGCCGCCGGGGTACACCAGTGCACCGCCGCCGGGGTACACCAGTGCGCCGCCGCCGGGGTACACCAGTGCACCCGGATACATCAGTGCGCCGCCGCCGGGGTACACCAATGCACCCGGATACATCAGTGCGCTGCCGCCGGGGTACACCAGTGCACCCGGATACATCAGTGCGCTGCCGCCGGGGTACACCAGTGCACCGCCGCCGGGGTACACCAGTGCGCCGCCGCCGGGGTACACCAGTGCACCCGGATACATCAGTGCGCCGCCGCCGGGGTACACCAATGCACCCGGATACATCAGTGCGCTGCCGCCGGGGTACACCAGTGCACCCGGATACATCAGTGCGCTGCCGCCGGGGTACACCAGTGCGCCGCCGCCGGGGTACACCAGTGCACCCGGATACATCAGTGCGCTGCCGCGGGGTACACCAGTGCACCCGGATACATCAGTGCGCCGCCGCCGCCGGGGTACACCAGTGCACCGCCGCCGGGGTACACCAGTGAGCCGCCGCCGGGGTACACCAGTGCGCCGCCGCTGCCGTGGTACACCAGTGCACCCGGATACATCAGTGCGCTGCCGCCGGGGTACACCAGTGTGCTGCCCCCCGAGGTACACCAGTGTGCCCCCACCGCTGCCGCGTAAGACCAGTGCACCGCCGCGGTAGACCAGTGCGCCCCAGCACTGCTGCCTTAAGGTTAAGAAATCAAAACCTAGCCCAGCCAGCACAGCTCAGGGTTGAGTGTGGACCTATGAACCAGGAGGTCATGGTTCGATTCCTGGTCAGGACACACGCCCCGGTTGCAGGCTTGGGGGCAGCCGAGGAGTGGGGCAGCTGGTCAATGATACTCTCTCATCATTGATGTTTCTATCTCTCCCACCCCTTCCTCTGTGAAAAATATATTTTTTAAAGAGATATTAAAACTTAAAGATAACCAATCACAAACACCCAATTAGGCTGTAAGCTGTAGCCAAATAATTCGTTCTGTGCTTGCAACCTTCTCCATAGGAATCTTTCACCTGGCTCCTGGCAGCAGGCAGCTTCTCACTACTTACAACTGTGCTGCCTGATTCAATTTGATTTTTGCTCAAATAAATTCTTCTTATTTTTAGTTCCCCTCAGTTCATATTTTAAAAACCTATAAGTACACCAACCATTAACAAACTTAAGCAACTTGCACAAATTATACATTAAGTTGAACAGTGAAATTGAGGATCGTGGTCTTTTTTTAAACCCTGAAATAGTGTTTTTTCAGCCTTCTTCATGGCTGCCTCCGTGTTCCTGTGCAAGAGAACAGGAGGAATGCCAAATCCACTGGTGCCAAAGACACATCTTTGTCGTCCACCAGTAAAGCCAATTTCTGTACATCAAAGCTGAACTTCCCAAAATAACAGCAAGGAAAGTTAAGGGTTTCCATTTGTTCCTAAAATAACATAAATTTAAAAGAAAGACCTATATAAGACTTTCATCAATAACAAATTTTAAAAATATAAAAAAATAACATACAAATTTAAAAGCATTTAAACGGGTAGAAATCTTTTAAAAATACGTGAAAGTAAACATGGAACAAAGCACTTACTTTGGTCAGGTTTAACGATTTCCTTGATGCAGTTGTGGTTGAATAGACTCGAGATGAACTTGGTGAGAGCTGATTAGAGGTTTTGGGGACCCAAAAGCAATGTAGAACTAAAAAAGAGTGGAGGAACCCTGCTGAGGGGCTCAGTTGGTTGGAGCGTCATCCTGAACGCCAAAAGGTCTTGGGTTTGATTATTGGTGAGGGCACATACCCAGGTGTTGGGGCGCCTGGGGTAGGCAGTCAATTGATGTTTCTCTCACATCAGTGTTTCTCTCCCACATCAATGTTTCTCTCTTGCTCTAAAAAAAAAATCAATAAAAACATCCTCAGGTGAGGGGAAAAAAAATGTTGGAAAATGGAAAAAAAATAGAGAGAAAATGCTACCTAAATAGCATTTTTTGAGACAGATGATATTCCCTAGGACACGAGAGCTGATAATCTCAGAGAACCTTTCTCTTGTCTTTTGCCTTCAGGAGAACCAAGCACTATCTCCAAACCGATATCTTTAACGTACAAGACACACCCAGTCCAAAACCAGAGGGAAAAAAGGTACTGCCTCTCATTCCTGGGCTTTTCAACTCAAAACTCAAGCTCCTCCCACTTCCACGGGGGTAGGGGGGAAGTCCTCTCATTTGCATCAGGAGCTTTGGAGAAGGGACACCTTGGAACCTGATAAATTGAAAACCAAACTGCGTAAAAGGTACAGGCATGCCTCCAATTGTGGGGATTGTTGGCGTTGGCCCTAAGATTTGTAGGGAGAGGGGAGAGGGACAATTTTATGTCACCATTAATTCTCATTTAAAGTCAATATTAAAACTGCATAATCTCACCCTAACTGGTTTGGCTCAATGGATAGAGCATCAGCCTGTGGACTGAAGGGTCCCAGGTTTGATTCCAGTCAAGGGCATGTACCTTGGTTGCGGGCACATCCCCAGTAGGGGGTGTGCAGGAGGCAGCTGATCGATATTTCTAACTCTCTATCCCTCTCCCTTCCTCTCTGTAAAAAAATCAATAAAATATATATTTTTTAAAAACTAAAGACTCCATCAAAAAACTATTAGACTTAATAAAAGAATTCGGGCCGAAACCGGTTTGGCTCAGTGGATAGAGCGTCGGCCTGCGGACTGAAAGGTCCCAGGTTCGATTCCGGTCAAGGGCATGTACCTGGGTTGCAGGCACATCCCCAGTAGGAGATGTGCGGGAGGCAGCTGATCGATGTTTCTCTCTCATCAGTGTTTCTAACTCTCTCTCTCCCTTCCTCTCTGTAAAAAATCAATAAAATATATTTAAAAAAAAAAAAAAGAATTCGGCAATGTAGCAGGATACAAAATTAACGCCAAGAAATCTATGGCATTTCTATACACCAATAGTGAACTTGCAGAAAGAGAGACTAAAAAAACAATCCCATTTATCATCGCACCAAAAAAAAATTAAGCTACCTAGGAATAAACTTAATGAAAGAGGTAAAAGACCTCTACTCAGAAAACTACAGGACATTGAAAAAAGAGATAGAGGAAGACATAAAGAGATGGAAGAACATACCATGTTCTTGGATTGGTAGAATCAACATCATTAAAATGTCCATACTACCCAAAGCAATCTATAAATTCAATGCACTTCCCATTAAAATACCAACAGCATATTTCACAGACCTAGAATTAACTCTCCAAAAATTCATCTTGAATAAAAAAAAAGACCCCGAATAGCTGCAGCAATCCTGAGAAAGAACAAAGTAGGTGGGATCTCAATACCAGATATCAAGCTGTATTACAAAGCCACTGTTCTCAAAACTGCCTGGTACTGGCACAAGAACAGATATGTAGATCAATGGAATAGAATAGAGAGCCCAGAAATCGGCCTGAACCAATATGCTCAATTAATATTTGACAAAGGAGGCAAGAACATACATTGGAGTCAAGATAGTCTCTTCAATAAATGGTGTTGGGAAAATTGGACAGATACATGCAAGAAAATGAAACTAGACCACCAACTTACACCATACACAAAAATAAACTCAAAATGGATAAAGGACTTAAATATACGACGGGAAACCATAAAAATACTAGAAGAATCCAAAGGCAACAAAATCTTAGACATATGCCAAAGCAACTTCTTCTCCAATACAGATCCTAGGGCATTGGAAACTAAAGAGAAAATAAACAAATGGGACTATATCAAAATAAAAAGCTTCTGCACAGCAAAAGAAACCATCAACAAAACAACAAGAAAGCCCACTACATGGGAGAACATATTTGCCAATGTTATCACTGATAAGGGTTTAATCTCCAACATTTATAGGGAACTCATACAACTCAACAAAAGGAAGATAAACAATCCAATCAAAAAATGGGCAAAGGACCTAAATAGACACCTTTCAAAAGAGGACATTCAGAAAGCCAAGAGACATATGAAAACATGCTCAAAGTCACTAATCATCCGAGAGATGCAAATCAAAACAACAATGAGGTACCACCTCACACCTGTCAGAATGGCTATCATCAACAAATCAACAAACGACAAGTGCTGGAGAGGATGTGGAGAAAAAGAAACCCTCATGCACTGCTGGTGGGAATGCAGACTGGTGCAGCCACTGTGGAGAACAGTATGGAGTTTCCTCAAAAAACTAAAAATGGAACTCCCATTTGACCCTGTGATCCCACTTCTAGGAATATATCCCAAGAAACCAGAAACACCAATCAGAAAGGATATATGCACCCCTATGTTCATAGCAGCACAATTCACCATAGCTAAGATCTGGAAACAGCCTAAGTGCCCATCAGTAGATGAATGGATTAGAAAACAGTGGTACATCTACACGATGGAATACTATGCTGCTGTAAAAAAGAAGGAACTCTTACCATTTGCAACAGCATGGATGGAACTGGAGAGCATTATGCTAAGTGAAATAAGCCAGTCAATGAAGGAAAAATACCACATGATCTCACCCATTTATGGATAATAAAGACCATAATAAACTTTTGAACAAAAATAGATACAGAGGCAGAGCTGCCTCGAACAGACTGTCAAACTACAGCGGGAAGGCCGGGGAAGGTTGGGGGACCGGAGTGGGGGGGTAAGAGATCAACCGAAGGACTTGTATGCATGCATATAAGCATAACCAATGGACATAAGACACTGGGGGGTAGGGGAGGCTGGGGGATTGTCAAGGGCGGGGGAAAAAAAGGAGACATATGTAATACTCTTTGTAATACTTTAAGCAATTTAAAAAAATTTTTAAAAAAAAACTGTGTAATCTCTACAAGTTAATAATTGAACACAAGCCCTAACTGGTTTGGCTCAGTGGATAGAGCACTGGCCTGCGGACTGAAGGGTCCCAGGTTCCAGTCTGGTCAAGGGCATGTACCTTGGCTGTGGGCACATCCCCAGTGGGGGGTGTGCAGGAGGCAGCTGATGGATGTTTCTCTCTCATCGATGTTTCTAACTCTCTATCCCTCTCCCTTCCTCTCTGTAAAAAAATCAATAAAATATATTTTTTTAAAAAATGTAAGTTACTAAAGGCGAGAGCCACAGCTCCTACTTCTGCACCTAGTGAACACAGTAAGTAACATATGCACTGAGTATAATTAAGTATTCATTTAGTGCAGTGGTTCTCAACCTTCCTAATGCCTTGACCCTTTAATACAGTTCCTCATGTGGTGACTCCCAACCATAAAATTATTTTCGTTGCTACTTCATAACTGTAATTTTGCTACTGTTATGAATCATAATGTAAAAATCTGATATGCAGGATGTATTTTCATTGTTACAAATTGAACATAATTAAAACATAGTGATTAATCACAAAAACAATATGTAATTATATATGTGTTTTCCGATGGTCTTAGGCGACCCCTGTGAAAGGGTCGTTCGACCCCTAAAGGGGTCGCGACCCACAGGTTGAGAACCGCTTATTTAGTAAAACAAATGGGTAGCAATCTAAGAACTAGGTTCTGGCCCACTCTATACCTGATGTGGAAGATAGTAATTGAATCAGATCCTTAGCAAATGTCTTTACATCAATCCACAGTAGATGAACAGAATATTTTTGTAAAACATTTCATTCAAAGTGTGCTAACCTAACTCAAGTTAG